CTTTTTCTTTCTCTTTTTCTTTTTCTTTTTCTTTTTCTTTTTCTTTTTCTTTTTCTTTTTCTTTTTCTTTTTCTTTTTCTTTTTCTTTTTCCATTGCCTAATCCCAAAGCAATTGTCAGGATTGTGATAGTGGGGTTCAGCTCCCCTAACAGTGGGCAGCCAGAAGTATAAAACAGTGTGGCAGTCTTCCACCCACACCATGCAAAAGGCAGTGGCAGAGCTGGGGGATAAATGCCATGCCCTGCTGGTTGTATAAAAAAAAGGGGGCAGGATGGCTGGGCGGACTCACCCCTAATACGGTAAAAGACAGTAGTGACTCCTCTCTAGGATTCAGTATAGCTCCTTTTAGTCATCTCCTCCAGCTGGTTTAACTTAAGGGGCACCAAACAACGAGGTGAAAGCATTTCTGGGGAAACAAACCAGCGAGCAGTAAACCCAGCAGTGGCTTAGAGCAGATCTTCTGGGACTACTGCTGCCATCTAGTGTCTCGTTCAGGCCTGTCTATTAGGGCAAACAGAAGAGTGCGCAGCTTGAAATGCGACTCAGCAGAAATGCTGGTTGGAGTCAGGCTGGCCAGAGACAGAAGCTGCATGGACAGAGTCAAGATGGTTGTGGGACACCAGCTCAGAGGGTGTGAGAGATCTGCATGCAGCCAAGCCATGGCCATCCAAAAAGTGACTTGTGTTGCTCTGGCCGCTCTGCGCTGGTGTCTCTCAGAAACCCAGCACCACAAAAGCAAGGCTGAATAGTCCTGGAGGCAGCGTAATCCTCTTATCCCTTTGGTGGTCTATCAGGAGCCAGGATGATCCCTGTCAGCAAGGCACTGCGGGAGCGCACATAGCAGCTGCCAACAAAATCCTCAGAGGCTCTGCCCCTACAGACAGAAAAAGCCTTCCCCCCCCCCTCCCCAATGGGGGGCTTTTCCTGTGATCAGGTTAATTTGGCACAAAACCTGAAATCAGATGGGGAGGTGTGGCTGAGTGGCAGTGCTCCTAGCTGAGTGAAGCCACAGAGAGCAATGGTCTCGAGGCTCTGTCTGAACAAGTGACCCTGTTCATACAAGAAAGTTGCAAAATACACAACCAACATTTTACTGATAGAGCAGCAGCTGAGAGATCTTGAGCTTGGAATAGTAGACTTTGAAGTGATATTATCCTCAGTATCTGTCAATTTGACTTGTATGTGGAATGGAGAGCATATGGGACATGAGTACAGGGCCTGAGAATGAGGTGCATCATTACATGGACCTGTTGTCACTGATCCTCAAAAAAAGCAGAGTAGAACTGGAAGCAGTGACCAGAAAAATGATGAGAGGGAACAGGGATAAGCATATCACACGTAATGAAATGACAGAGCTAAATGCATCAGAATGTATTAGAGATAAATTCGTACGTGGATTAAAAGAACAGATACTTATATTTGTGAAAAAAAGTTCCTCTGATGCTGTTAAATTCAAGCATGTCTGTAGCCTCTGACTCAGGAAGGCCCTCAGTGGCCCACTGCTGAATATGGTGAGTTGCTGGGGAAGTACCAGAGTATGTTAAACCTGCCCTGATACTGCTCCCCTGAGCAGGTTTTACTTCCTTGAAAATGACAGAGGTGGAAGTGCTAACAAAGGATACCATGGAAAAAAGGTGCTATTTCAGTGGAAAAGGAAAAGGAAGGTATGGGAAAAGACAGATGGCTAGTGTCAAAGTTCCTAATATGTAAGAATGGAGCAGCTGGAGGGAACTCTAAGCAAGTGGAAGCTGAAGCTACCACTAGTAGTTTCTAGTGGTACCTAGAGGAGTTACATAAGGATGCTCTGCCCAGTGTGCTGATGAGGCAAGGGAAAGGAAGAGGGCCATAATCTCTGCACTGCCTTCATCAAACTTCCCCAACTCAGCATTGCAGTGGGGAGGGGAGGGGGCAGGCCCAGAAATGACTGACAAGGGTACCCACATCTTGGTGTGCAGCCAAACCCTCCTAGAAGAGGTGGATGAGGGATCACAGCCTAGCACAGCCAGTGTGCATATGTGCCAGGACTCTTTCTGCTGAGGTGAACATAGCCATGGCTCCAAAGGTTTGGTCTATTCTATGAGTCTTGCAGTGAGTCCCTCCTTGTGGCTCAATTGCTCTGAAGATATTTGCTTTCCACTTTCCCCTGTCTGAGCACACCACATCTGGAAAGTCCCATTGTTCTTCCTTGCCTTCCACCTTATGACCTTCTGTAAATGGAAGGCCACAGGGGCATTGCATGCCATGTAGTCAGTGTGGTCCCATTTCATATCCTGGCTACACTGCAGGAAGCGTGTATAGAATGTGAGTTACAAGGCAATGAAGAACCAGGCCCAGAATTTTAATTAAATGAATACATTATTGTATAATGAGTGCAGTAATACAATGCTAGTTTGAGGTATCAGAGTGCCATTTATCATTTTATTTTGGCATCCAAGCCTAAGTGAGGCCACCAAGTAAGTCTTAGAAAGAGATTTTCAGAAGGCATTCCTTTGAAACAGTTGATTTGAGCTACTGTGAAAGCAAGGGCAGTCTGGAAAAATTCCTATGTTTTGGTAAGCCAAGAAACCAGAATAATAAACAGAAAATCATAAACATCACAAGCTAGCTCTGTGCCAAGGGCTGGACTTTCCTGATGCTCTGTATTTTTCCCACAGTGCAGAACAACCACAAATTCAACACGATCTGCAGGGTTTTCTGTTGCCTTCTACTGCAGGAAAAGGAAGTCTGAAGACATTAGATCCTTACATGTGTTTCTTTATATTTATGTTTAAGAGATGGATAGACAAGAAGGAGGCCCAAAACCAACCAACAAAGAAGCCTAACAGCCTCTGTTTCTGTTCTACTTCGCAGTGCCATGGTTCCCAAGAAGTATTCAGGAGCTGGACAGATTTGCCAATCAGATCCTAAGTTATGGAGCGGAGCTGGATGCTGACCATCCTGTGAGAAAAAGAACTTAGTTTTTTTTTTTTTTTTTTTTTTGTCCACATGTTTCTAGTTATTTGGATAGACGTTTCTCTCATTTGCATTTGCTCTGCTTTAAGACAAATACAGTAGACTAAGTTTCAAGGTTTAAAACAAGAGAGGTGCCATATTTCTAGAGCTAGAATCTGTTCATTCCCTGCTATGAAGTAGAGCAACCCTGAAGTTGCTTTAATTTAAGCATATACCAGCAGACCTGAAGAATCACAGACTTGATCAAGCTGAAGGCCACGACAGGCACACCTCTGGTTTTCCCATATGGCTCTGATACGCTGACTTGAGACTCAGTTTATGAATCACTAACAACAAAATCTTCAAAAGCAGTGTATAACAGCCTGGAGTTAGGAAGAGTGTTTTTACATCTTATACGACAAATACACAATTGAGCTCAGAGCATTGTGATGTAGTTGTTAAATCTGTCATGATTCTTGTTTCATGAGACACAAAAAAAGAAAAGGTTTCTTTTTCAAAAGGTCATGGTTAAAGTGGTAAAGTTAGATAGTTTTACTCACTCGCTTAGCTGAACATTTTTTCAGCTTTTCCGAATAGAAGAATACTTGCTGCTTTTACTTCTTCTCCAAGCAAACAACTTATTTTCATTTGTCAATACACACCGAGTCCTATGCAGTGCAAAAGAAATTGCTGCTATTAGTTTAATTGAGATAGGATGATTATAAATAAATTACAAGCAGCGCAACAAAAATTGCTGCTATTAGTTTAATTGAGATGAGGTGATTAGTCATTCACTACCTATTGCTTAATTCGAGAGGTGTTATGTATCATATACAATGATTCATGATACTTGGTGCAGTCATATGAAAGGCAGAATGAAAGGAGATACACTGAGCCAATGGCCCCCTCATGTGTCATGTGGGAATAGACCAAGACTGTATTCAAAGAAAGAAACAAAAACATAGATGTTGAAAGGAATAAACAGCTTTGCTTCCTAGAATTATTTAGAGAGTACTTTATTCAGGTTGTGTTAAGAAAGAAGACAATTTCTAGGTAAATAGACATAGCAACATACAGAATACAGAAAGAGAGAAATTAAAAAAGCCTTTGATATTTTAGTACTTAAGTATGAGATTTTACCACAAATACATCTATACCATGTTAGTCTGAGACAGTGTTTTTTATGCCACTGTTGGCCTTTATTTGACTGGTGCTCTTCAATCGATGCTCCGCCTCGGCAGTATCCTGTACCTGGTTGTGTTTCATGGCCCCTCACTCCTTTCACGACGCGCATCTCTGAGGGAGGTATTCATGAACTCCGGCAGTGCCCATGAATTTACTGCTATTTGCCTCGTAGCTATTTCTTCTATCTGGGAAGGACATCACTTTAGGTGATGAAAACACTCCTAGCCCTGAGGAACTTACATCCTATAAGTGTCACACTAGGATAGGAGAATGGTTATCCCAGTAGAAGATTTAGAAATTGTATTTAACTCTGATCAGACAGATGATTAGCTGCAAAGGTCAAACTGCTAACCACAAAGTCTAATGGACATTCTCTATAGTGATTAAATCCTGTACTTTTGGGGCTCCCTAGAAGCTCACTGCTCCTCAGACCAGCCATGCTCTCAGCAGAAGAAAAGCTCTTCACCACCTGCATTTACTCATCATTGCTGTTTCTCTTTAGGGATTCAAAGATCCTGTGTACCGGGCCCGGAGGAAGGAGTTTGCAGACATTGCTTACAACTACAGACAGTGAGTGCTCAATGTGCAGGCAGAAAGCAAACCCATGTCTCCTGCCTTCTATGGGGTTCTGTCCCTGCTGTGAGCCCTGTTTTCTTTCACGAGAGTCTTGCCTCTGCTGGCTTTTCTTTTTTGTATGTTTAAATCTTCCTGTCCATGCATTTATCCTCAAATTGCAGAAAAACATAAGTAAATTGTTGCAGGCACATGTTCAGCTGAGACCATTGCCTATCCTCTTTCCCCACAGCATCCCTTATCTCTGCCTTTGTAGTCTAATTGAACAGCAGACTTAGTTGCTACTACAAAGACCTGAGCATTGAATAAAGCTGTTTCTGGTATTCTCCTCATTAAACCAGGGCTGGGGGAGGAGAGCCTATCATTTACATTAAAGCAGGAGCTGCATACACTATTAAAATAATGAATAACTTATGGTTCTGATGCTAATCCAGCGCCTGATACTCTACTTTTATCTTGTCTGACCCAGCTGCAATCAGCAGCTTGGGCTCTAATTTCCCAAGAAAAGTGAATGAATAGAGATGATAAATTCAGTTAGAACAGGCTTGCTTGATTGCTTCCAGTGATCAAATCTGGAGGAGATAGAATTCTGTTCCCAGAGCCACTCACACATTTACATCAGTACTATTTGGTCTGATTCTTGCTGAGACTGGTAAAAAATTGTGATTGCAAATGATAAGGTAACATATGTTGTACATTTAGAGCGCTACTTCAGATAGAACTGTGATGAAAAGATAATTCCTGAGCCAAAAAGCTTATAATGCAATCATAAAATGAGAGAAATAATTGGCCTAATTGATGTATAGTGAAAAAAAGCCAGGTGGAAAAAGTCAGAAGTCCAATTTATGGCTAGAAAAATTGAATAAGGTTTTGTGGCCAAATTTAGATGGATTTAGTTTCCATTTGTAAGTATCCCATAGAAGATTTCTTTCTTTCTCAGTTAGCAGATAGCAAATTCTGGTCTCTAGTTTGCAGGCTTTCATCATATCCTACACAGAAATAAAATGAAAATGAGTTCGTATTTTACCCTCTGCCTCCTCTGCTATATTCAACCCGAAACCTGCTTAGGGAGATGAAACCGTTATATTCCAAGATGTAGCTAATTACTAGTTAGTCTGTTATCCAAATTCTCAGACACTTTGGAGCCTCTGCAGGCTAGAACAGATTTCCATAAAGCACCTTTTATGTGCAATTCTTGGACATTTAAATAAGATCTTTCAGCTGTAGGACACTGTGAAAAACCCACATTTGGGGTTCTGGGTCTTGAAGAAAGATGTCGGTTTTTTGTGGCTTTGGATGCTGAGTCATGAAGGCCCAAATAGATAGTGTACTTGATCTGGCTGCTTCACCTGGCAGATGTCTTTCAAGGTCTGCAGCAGGACAGTAGAGGCCAAGGGGGTGTCCCCTGCATGGAGGGACAGGAGCATAGAGAAGCAGGCAGGAGGAGAGGAACAACCAAAGCTATGAGGCACTGTGGAAAGTATCTGAAAAGGCAAAGATGCTTAGCTTGTAATGTCAGTTACAAAGGTGAGGTGAGTTTTTGGTCAGTTTTCTCATACTTTTATTTCCCTTATCACTTTAATCTTCTTATGTGCACACTCTTCTGTGATTATTTAGTTTTCTTTTGTCCTGCTGTTTTTTGTTGCATTTGCTGCTCTCTACCCATGTTCTTTTGCCTTCTTTCTTGCTACTTTTACCATTCATTTTCATTGAATTCCTCATCTCCCTGACTTGTTTCTGCTTTTCTCAGCCTGCCTTCTTCCTTCTGTCTTCCTTTTCTTCTGTCCCTGTGGATCCCTGCAAATTTTAAATTGAAATTTGAAAGATTTTTAAGCCATATCTTCCCCCTGTTGCCCAGGAAGGTGTCTGAGAATTACTTAGAAGTTCTATAGAAACAAAAATCCCCCAGCAAGATTCATAATCCAACCTGATGTTTAAGGCTCCACAGATCAAGGAGGGCTGATACAGAGGTGCAGAAAATGAGCGCTCCGGCGCAGCTGCCCTGAGGCTCAAGAGAAAAATGAGAGAGTGGGATGGTGGCGTGTCATCAAGAGTTAACAATGTGTCTCTGGGGCTTGGAAAGCTCCAGCATTACTCCAGCAGTGATGTTAACCCTATTAAGTTACTTAAAACCCTTTGATTTTTCAAAGCTGTTGGATTCACCTATGGCCCTATCATTATTGCTAAGAATTGACTATTCACAGGAGGCGAAAACACATTGCTTGTGATTGTCTTAATACCTGCTAGCTTCAACATGAGCTAAGTACATGGAGGCCTGAGGGTGGGATTTGACTCAAAATTATGTGTTACAATAAAAAAGTCAAACTACTTGAAGTCTGCACCTGTTGTAGCACAAAGCCCACCCCAGAGTTTCTTTGACCCCCACAAAGCAGAATTTTCTGGAGCTGATCATATCCCTCTTTCAACAAAGACAATTAATGTTGTGTGGACTAGAGCAAGAAATTCAACAGCTGTTCCATGCCTGGTAATGGAAAGAAACTGAAATCATCAACCGGTTCATTTTTTTAAAAGAATATTTCAGTAAGACAAATAAGCACTAATTTATTAGCATCACCGTAGTGCAAGAAAAGTACTAAAGGCCTTTTTCTCACAGAATCACAGAATGGCCTGCACTGAAAAGGACCTCAAAAATCACCTAGTTTCAATCCCCCTGCTACGTGCAGGGTTGTCAACCACCAGACCAGGCTGCCCAGAGCCACATCCAGCCTGGCCTTGAATGCCTCCAGGGATGGGGCATCCACAGCCTCCATGGGCAACCTGTTCCAGTGCATCACCACCCTCTGAGCAAAAAACTTCCTCCTAATATCTAACCTAAGTTTCCTCTTTTTTAGTTTAAAACTATTTCCTCTTGTCCTATCACTATCCACCTTCATAAACATCAATTCCCTCTCCTGTTTATATGCTTCCTTCAAGTACTGGAAGGCCACAATGAGGTCTTCCCAGAGCCTTCTTGTCTCTTAGCTAAACAAGATCTGCATTCTCATCTGAGTTCAGTGAGTTCTTCCCAGGCATTGCCTAGGAACAAGTGAAGCTTGCTTGGCACCTGCATGTCAGAGCCAAGGTGTCTTCCTTCCTGCAACTGTAGTCCTGGTCAGCCCATGGAAAGTTCCTGGGTGGGATGCTGGTGTAATTGGACAATTTCTCTGTCACTCCTATTGAGTGCATCTTTTTTTTTCTTTTTTTCTTTTTTTCTTTTTTTCTTTTTTTCTTTTTTTTTTTTTTTCCAGTGGTCAACCTATTCCTCGAGTTACCTACACAGAAGAAGAAAAGAAAACTTGGGGCACTGTCTTCAGAGAGCTGAAGAATCTCTATCCAACTCATGCTTGTTATGAACACAACCATGTCTTCCCACTTCTGGAGAAGTACTGTGGCTACCGGGAGGATAACATTCCCCAGCTTGAAGATGTTTCAAAGTTCTTGCAGAGTATGTTTGAATCGTTAAAACAAAAACAGACAAATGAAAACACCTCATTAAAAAAAAAAAAAAAAAAAAAAAAAAGAAGAAAAAAAGAAGGAAGAAACAAAATGAAACAAACCTGCCAAACACAAATGTTTGTGCGGGTGATGCTTTCACAGAGACTTTCTGTGAGCACTTGGTCACATCATTTAGACTGTCTCATATCACTCTCTAAATGTTTCAGAAGTACAGTGTTTCGCATGCTCAGATGTTATGATGGTTGTACACACGGGCAGAAAATTCCCTTCTCTTTTGCAGTTAAATTCTGTTTAACATAGTTAGAGCAAAGAAAACAATTAAAAATGTTCTTTTACTGCAAGGTGTCCAGGTAAGGATAGATCAAGCATCCTAGCTGCTTTTGAAATGCCATGTTTTTTGTCCCTTCAGCCTGCACTGGATTTCGCCTGCGTCCTGTTGCGGGCTTGCTCTCCTCTCGGGATTTCTTGGCTGGACTGGCATTCCGAGTATTTCACTCTACGCAATATATTCGCCATGCATCCAAACCTATGTACACACCAGAGCCGTAAGTATTTTGGCATAGAAAGTAAGTGAAATTGTAGGATGAGGACAACTGATAACAAATGCAGGACTTCAGAGCACTCCTGGGAACAGATCTAACAGAGAACAGCCAAGTGACCACTCTTGTGAAAACACTGAAGGTTTCTAGTCTTTTTAGTAAGTTGTACCCACTTCTGAAAGTTCTTCTGGGATTTATCAGACAGTTTTGCTAACTGAAGACATGCTAACATGGTGGCTGGAAGGTGAGAAAGCAGTGTACAAAAACATTTGGCTTACCTATTAACATCCAAAGCAGTAGTGTGAAATCTAATGCAGAAGTGGTTCAACATGGTGCAAGCAAGCTTCTGGTAGAAAGATAAATGAAGCCCATATAAGTGGCTCCTTTTCTTTTAAAGTTTTATATTTTTTCTTTCTGTCACCGTCCGTTGTCCATTTCTACTTACTGTGTTCAAGTAAGTTCTCTTCTTCCTCTGCTTCATATTACTGCAGCTCTTCTGACCCTTCTCTGTTTCTTTGCTCTCTACTTCTTCCCACAACCTCCCTTTCCTCCCCATTTTTCCGTTCCTTATTCTTCTAATTTTCCTCCCTGCTTCTCCTCACCCTATTGCCATCCTGCACAAAGCCACACTGAAATGTTTTGTTCTCATCTCTTCACAAAATGTCTAGGCAAACTCGGGCAAATGGTACAGTGGAAAGCCTCACTGCCAACCCCTGTTGTTGTGCAGTTCTTATAAGTCTTGTGTTTTGTCTCTGGGAGGGTGCAATGAATTACATATTTCACATCTTAGTTGGTATCTTTCCCTCTGAGACCCTGGCCTCTGACATTCCCAATTCAATTCTTGTTTAGTTGGTCTGGTGGAGCCCAGTTTTCCTGGGCATGCATCTCCTTGAATGCCTTTTCTGTAAACACCTTGCACAGACCTTGGCCTCCTGGGAGTATTTCACTCCTTTTCACTTCTTCTCTCATCAAACCGCTTCTCTGTCTTTGAGGAATCTAGTAGTGTGTAGGTAAGTTCTTCCCCAAACATGCCAGCCACTTGTTCAAATCATGATGAAAACAGTTCCACTTGAGGAACTGAGCCATCTTTCAGTTGAGGGCTCTAGGCCTGAACAGTGACTGGGGCTGAACTTCTGGGCTGCCTGTAGTACAAGCTTCATCTGAAGGTATTTCCTGCCCCTGAGACAGAATAGTGCATGTTCCCTTTGGTGAGGTGATTTCTTCCTTGGTTTTCCTGAGCTGAAGAATTGGACAGTTGGAAGCATTATTTCCTTCCACGAAAAAAAACAAATAACATATCCTTCCTTTGACTGATGTATGATAAAACCACTGAAAAGCCACAGAAGTGCAAACCATCTCAATGCAGGAAAAATTTACTCCAAGATTCCTGAGCATTATTTGCTCATAGGAGTGTATTTCCTAAATTAAATTTACTTACATGTCATATTTTCCTGCAGTGATATTTGCCATGAGCTACTAGGACATGTGCCTCTTTTTGCTGATCCCAGTTTTGCTCAGTTTTCCCAGGTAAGTTACTTAGTATTTATACTATTTTTAAAACTGAACACATCACAGACTAAGTAATTAATAGGACACAAGAGCCATGAGGAATGGGATAGGATGGGATGGCATGGTATGGCACGGCATGGTATGGCACGGCATGGCATGGGATGACATGGTGCAGGATGGGATGACATGGAATGGGATGAAATGAGATGGGATGAGGGAGAATACACCTTCAAGATTATTGTTAAAGTATGGATGAAGTCAGCTGAGTCTCCCTTTCAAAATAACAAATGGTGTTAATTATTTTCCTTGCTTTTTGGTCATCTGAATGTGAAGATTTCGTTCATAATTGATAGGTACAGAAATTACAAATGTCCACAGGTAGTAGGTTCTAAAGAGTTGTGAAGAATCAAGCCAGAAGAGAGAGAACATTGCTATGCTCCTGGCTGAAACTGTATGAAAGTACAGCTGATGCCATGTAGGCTACGAATTATGACTTACTGAAATCTAGACACAAATCACATAGATGATCTTAAGTGCCCACACCCCAAATGTCTGTCTTGTGTGGTTTGCTTTTTACAGGCAAGACTTTTGGGAAAAATTCACCTAAAAACTTCTCTGTAGATGCTGATACTTCTGGGAAAACTTGAATGGATCATTAATCATATGGGTTATCAATTCATTCTGTAGTCCAAACACTAGAGAAAGTGAAGATTTTTTTTTTTAAAGCCATGAAGGAAGCTATTGCAGAGAAGTAAAGTGAGGAATTATCTTGCTTGTGAGTGTGGAAAAAGTCTGGAGAAAAGATTTCTTTTTGGTAATGTTAACATGACTGGAAAAGAAGCCAAACCTCAGGGAAAAAGTAAACTTTTGGCTGCATCTTACCATAAAACAAGAAAAAACAGAAAGGCATAGACAGAAAGATAGAAAGAAGAAAAAAGAAATGCAAGGAAAGGAAGACAAAGAGAAAGACAGGAAGGACAGAAAGCATAGAGAATGGAAGGTCAGAAGGACAGAAAGATGGAGGCAAGGAACAACAACCTTGATGTAACATCTCGCTCATAGAACAGAAGTTGATTTGATGTAGTTAATTTGATGTAGTTCAGTTTTGCTCTCAGGAAAGGCCTTTGCCAGAATTTCCTTCAAGATAAATCCTACTGCCCTTCAGCTTACTAGAATTTACCATGGCAATAGTTGTTCCAATGCTTTTGGTGTGTGGAAGCCTGAGAGGTGGATGATTAATTCTTGATGTCCAATTCACCCTGGAGTAAACCGAGAAAGATATCTGGTTATTATGCAGTTTTGCATGGTTGTCTTCTGAATTCAGATATTGCATTCTTCCTAGGAAAGTTTCCATTAGCTCCCAAGGTATAAGCTAGCTTTTTCAAATCATGCCCTAACTTTTGGAAAAAAAAAAAAGAAACAACAACAAAAAAAAACCCCAACCAAACAAACACACCTCTCTTTCAAGGCTGCAAGAAAGCTCTCGTAGTAAGGACTCACTGAAGAAGAGATAAATATTAGAGGTGTATGGATGTTATTGATTTATCTCTCTTTGACTATCATTCTCTTTGGTGTGCATTATAGGCTTGGTGAAAATTTTGTTTGACCTCAGTGGGTTTTGAAGCAGACTTAAAGAGTTGTGCCTCATAAATGACACTTAGATGGGACTCTTTTGTTCATTTCTGGAGAGATTTCTGCTTTAAAATTGATGCTGCATGATATGAACAAGTCCTGTAAACATTTGTGTGTGGTAGTATGAGATGGTAACATTTAAAATGGGAGAAATTACATAAGACAAGACAGGAAGAATGTTTGCAATAAATGACTTGAAGAATAATGGTTTATTGTTGCAGGAAATTGGCCTGGCATCTCTGGGAGCTCCAGATGATTTCATCGAGAAACTTGCTACGGTAATTTAATAAATGAGAGCTCAGTTCTACAAGGCACCCTGTGTTGTTTTAATTCTGCTGCCACTGAGGTCACTGATAGAACTCCCATAGAGTTGAATGAGAACTGAGTGAAGTCCATGATTGGAAAGCCTCACCCTGAAACACTAAAGGTTTTAGTTGCACTTTAGTTGCACTAAAGGAAAATAATTTTGGCACCTCTTATTCCAAGTGACAATTTTGATTAAAAACAGAGGGTTGGTCAAGTCTTTCATCATTACAAACATTGGGCAAGAAGAGACTGAGTGTTACTACACGCCCTTGGGAAAATTTGGAAGACAGCTTCAGTAAAACTCTTCTATCTGCCGGGGTCTCTTTTCTTCTACCCTGCCAAGCAGATAATGTCCTCCACAGTCAGTGATCCATCTGAATCATGCGCTGGGAGAACTGTGACCCCACATCAGGATATGAATATGAGATTAGTGTCACCAGTGCCAAATCATCTGGGCAGAGTGCTGCATTATCTTTGCTGTTTTTGATAGATGAAGGAGGTTTTATTTGAGCAAGAGTGAGTGTCCCTTCAAATATATAGTGACAGAGCAAAAAGTTGAGTGGGACCATGCAGTAGGATCTACTATTGCTATAACAGCTCATTTCTTCTGTGATGCTGTAGCCAGACACCCTCTGAGTAAAACAGGAAACATATTTCTATCATCAAAGGTTCAAACTTCAGCTGGGTTGGCCAGCCAAAATGAAATTTTATTGCTATGTTTTCATTGTCTCTGCTCTGCTGACAACTGTAAGCACAGTAAAGCACAACACTGTTTGTCAGGGAACTGAATTTGCAGACACACTGAGTCTAGCGTGGCCCTCTCAGAAGAATTTCAATCTGTGAAAACATTTCCTGTATTTATACATTTGTTGTTTGACATACGGCAACATTTCAAATAGAAATGCAAATTCTGAACGCATTCAAATTAATGATGTGTACCTGTCATTTCTGGTCAAGAATCATATCCCGTATAATTTTCTTGCTAGGTTTATTGGTTTACTGTGGAGTTTGGACTATGTAAGGAAGGTGATTCACTAAAGGCATATGGTGCTGGGCTGCTGTCTTCATTTGGGGAGCTGCAGGTATGTTCTTTAAAACAATATTTCAATCATGATATACGGTTCATGCCTGGGCTTTTAAAATTACTCGAATATATCTTCTGGCTGTCTTTAGATCCTTATTTTGCTTCATACTTCATAGTACATAATGTTATATTTTGTTGAAGTGTTCTATATAATAATGTGTCAGTGTATTTACATAGAAATGTCTCATAGTTGCTTCTTCCCTATTAAGTTACCATATGATTGGTATTCCACAGCAGCAGGCTTTTCCTCTGTAAAACCGGGGGGGTATTTAGGAGCTGTATCTTTCTTTCATAAAAAATTAAAGCATTATTTAACTGAAACATATTTCTTACCCTTTTGCTTATAGTACTGTTTATCAAGTAAGCCTGAGATTCGGCCTCTCGTTCTGGAGAACACTGCTGTGCAGAATTACACTGTTACTGAGTTCCAGCCTGTCTACTTTGTTGCTGAAAGTTTTAATGATGCTAAGGAAAAGCTAAGGTAAGCCAATCATTCTGTATATAACCCAATTCTTTATCCAGGGCAAATACAACAGATCTCATTGTTGTAACAGGTATTGGTATGACGGAAATGTTTTGAGAAAAAGTTGTGCAATGCTCTAGGAGTCTAAGCAGTTGTTACACTCAAAATCTTCTCACAGGTAGAAAAGCCATAGGTATATGAAGTCAAGAACTTCACAGTTGCTCTAATTAAGAGCTTCACCTGTTTAACCAAAATATATTTAAAAAACAAAAAACTAAAAACAAGAACCCAGATTAGCAGTCCAATTGAAATGATAATAACACCAGGGGTCAAAGCTAGCAAATTAAGGCAAAACAAGTTTATTTAACTTGTTAAACTTTGTTATTACATTTTTTTTTCTTGTGTCTTTTCCCTTTTCTTTTCAACTTATGTTCACTCTTACACTTTCTTTTGTGTCTTAAAGTCAACAGTTTTAGTCAGGGGGTAGGGGTGGAGCTCTCAAGTTATCAGCAGCTCCTGAGGTCCTCAGAGCAAGATTGTGATGCTAATATACAGAATTTCTTCCTCTCTTTCCTGAGGAAGATAAATATGTTTACATTTCCTTTCTTCCTCCTTAGCCCAAGGTCTGTTCAGGGTCTTTTCTAATATGCTTTACATCTTTTTTGTTTTGTTTACATCTTTTTTCTCATCTCAAATTGTATCTGTGAGTTTTTTGTTTGTCTGTTTTTTGTTTTCCCTCAGCTCCTAGGTTACTATGAACACCTAATCAGTGGGAACTTCTGATAGCCTAGGGACCACAGCATCATCTACCTTACCACATGCTACCCTAGCCTGTTCCATTCCCATCCCATCCCATCCCATCCCATCCCATCCCATTCTATCCCATCTTAACCTCATGCCTTTAGGCCTCATTTATCAGCCCTCTAATAGATCTTTCTATTACATCATACTTTAGGGTCTGACTTAATTCACCCTGTACAGCATAACTACTTGATATTCCTGCCTATACAAAAGTTATTAACACTAAGCATTATAAAGCAGAATTTTTCAGAATTGAGCAAAACTGTGATAAATTGGGTAGTAGATACATGGTCATTAGGCAACTGATATTACAACTAAATGAAACTAGCAGCAAGCCTAATAACACCAATCCTGAGGCCTCTGTTGTTAGCTTAATACAGAGCCTCCAGCTTGTTGCGAACAGTGTGTTTACAAGCCTACAGGGCTACTTAATAAATCTTTGAGTCATCTGTGACTCAAATACAAATTCAGTTCCAGTACAAGACTTTGAAACAAAAGTCCAGTTTCAGTTCTGGTTCTTGAAACAGAACTGGCTCAGACTGCATTTAGGGTTCAGCTTGGGTTCCACCTCACAGAAATATTTCTATTTTTCTGTAATAACATTATCAACAAAAACATTCCTTCTGGACATTAGCCAAGCATCTGGGGATTAATCTTGTTCACGCTCAATAAATCTTTCACAGCAGATGCTATACAGGGACTTGTCCCAGATCTGCCGTCTCTATTTTTCTTTCTCTCTTCCACTTTCTCCCATTTGCAGATTAACACGTACCAAGACATTCACCTGCCCCAGGCTCCCTGGTGCTATGTCTTCCTTGCTACCTCCCCTACTGTTTCCTCAGTCATCATTAACCTGTAGCCTCTACTCCTGCCTTTTTCTGTGGGGCAATACTTGAAAAAGATAATTTTCTTCTCTGGATTAACATCCTGCATACAGTTTCTATCTTCACTGTGTGAAGATAGATTCTCCAGGTGAGGAAAAGTCTTACTCTAAAGAGAAAAAGATGTTGCCTTACTCTATAGAAAACTCCTTACTTTATAGGTTTTATTGCTTCTTTCACTTGTTTCAAAAATAGAATTGGAAAACTGGTTAAATAGAGGTGAGGATGTTGTTTCAGTGCCTGTGTTGGTGGGTTACAGGTGTGTGTGTGTGTGTGTGTGTGTGTAATAGAACACCTCTCTGAAAAATTATGAGGTTGACCTGAAATATCTCACCTAGAGGTATTCATCTTCTAAAAAGGATCTTACTTGCAGCAGATATTTAAGAAGACCATCTTCTAAATAGAACCTTCTCAGCTAGTAAAGCTGAACTGACAATACTAAATTCTTTCATTGTAGTCAGTGTAATCGTTTTCTATTGTCACACCTTGTAGCCTGCTCACACTGAACTCTATTGGAAACAATGGCCTTCTCGGATAATAATTAGGGCTAAACTGAGGAGCAATGTAGAAGTGGCATCCAACATATTTCACTGTTATGGGAACATGGGATTAACCATGTTGAGTCACAGCCTATACAGTGAGGCTTCAAAATCAACTCTTGTTCGCTTTCTTTCCTCCTTCAGCAATAACTTCAGTAATCTGAAGCAGATATATAAACCAGTATCCTGCTGGGTCCTGCAAAGAGCCTGGAACAATAGCTCTGACCATCTTTTCCCACTCAGCTCTCCCTTCTACAATTCTGTGGTAATGCAAATTAGTGTTATCCCAAGATACTTAAATCTTAATGTTTCTGCCATGGAATTAACTATTTTGCAGCAGAGAAGGCTGAGAATAAGGGTGGCAAAGGCTTCACTTCACTGACTCTTATTTTTCAGTGACCTGGGAACCACTACCAACCATGCCAGAAGTTTGCCTGGTCCCTTATATTGCAGGAGGCATAATATGATAATATTTGACTTTGCTTTCCAGAAATTGTAGATGCGGATCAGGATTTTGCATTACTGAAAGGAAAATAAGATCTTGCTGTTTGGCAAATACTGATAGCTATGTAGCTGTCCTGTGTCAGAACTGTAGAATAATTAGATTTGTCTGGAAAAACTAGAGGTGGTAAGGACAAATGAAGATTCAAGTGTGTTACAGAACACCATCATCTCACTCAGCAGGAATTTCAGTTCCTTCCTCCCATCATCAGCAAATGTACATGCCAACTGAGAAGAGTTGCTGAAAAATGGAACTTTTCACATTTGCATGTGTTTTTGTATTTTTGCCTCAGGAAATTTGCCCAAACAATCCCTCGTCCTTTCTCTGTTCGGTACAATCCCTACACCCAGAGGATCGAAGTCTTGGACAATGCAAAGCAGCTGAAGAACTTAGCTGACACTATCAACAGTAAGGAACTATGGCTCTGTTAGCCTGAATACCTCTAAGCTCAAATCAGAAATAATAACCACAAAACAGATTTTGTCCTTGCCTTTTATGCTCTGAGCTTGACCATGATCAAGCATCAGATATCTTTTATTGCACAAAAATTCCTTTCTAATTATAGACAAGCTTCAAAATAGCATTTCTAGTTGACCATAGTTAGTTACATCTGAAACATCCATTTTAACTGGAGGTGCTAGGAAAACTCAGAGGCCCTGTAATGGTTTCTGATCTGTGTCGCCAGGTGTTTTTATTGAAGAAGACCAGTTTGGCTTATTTATATATTCCTTTCTTGTTTCTAGTTTTCTCACGATATATTTTTTTCCTAACATTGGCTACCCTGCCAAGAATCAGCATTCCTGATCCTACAAGCCAACCTTGTATGACTAATGAAAGTGAAGGGCTGTCTCTGAAAACTGTGTTGTTTTTTTTTTTCCCCCCAGGGAATGAATATAACTATAAATATAAATATATACTGTATATAATATATTATATACTGTTATATAAGTATATGTTATATAGAGTATACATTCTATACTGTTATATAATATATATAAACGTTAGAAATGAGCTAGCTGTAGGACTAATTAGTCTGATTATTGTCTTTACAGGTGAGATGGGGATCCTCTGCAATGCCCTCCAGAAGATCAAATGAAGATTTTCTGTAACTCTTGCAAATCACTGGCTACATAGAAGAAGTCGTGCAAAAATGCCAGTCTTCACTTAGCTTCAGCTTATTATCTTACTGTGTACTGCATGCCTATATCATATATCTCAGTTATCATTATCATTATTATTATTATTATTATTATTATTTTGGCCTTCAGACACTAATCCATTTTTTTCTCATTAAAGCCTAACAATAATCTTAGTACTGGGAATCTAGGGAAACTCTCCACATATATCTTAACAAAATTATCAGAAGGGGGAGATCTCCACCATGCAGTGCTACGGCCTGTTACAAACATGGGGTTGTGTTACCACACTTGGCCCAGTGACAGAATAATAATGACCAACACAGAGTAATCCATCTTTTATTCTTTTTTCCTCTCAGACATTCTCCCCTCACTTCCTCATATTTGTGCATGTTTCCATGAAATGCTGAACTCTATATGCTTCAGAAGTCTGCATACTGCCTGGCCCTGTAAACCATGACTTCGCTTGGTGAAACTGTACCTCTTTTTTTACACATGAACGCCTCTGTCCTGAAATAATACTTTTTTTTTTTTCTTCAGAATTTGATGTTGCCATTGATTAAAAGCACAGATGCTAATGGAAAAGACAGCAAGTATGCTGCAGCTTCAATAGCAGAAATTTATCACAAAAATATGCAAAATATGCAAAAATATACTGTATTTGCACAAGCACTAATCCCAAAATGTTTTCTTCAGACCAAGAACATGGTGTGCTGTGTTGTGTCACTGGCTTGCAGAGTGGAGTTTGTCAGAAAGGCACTGACATTGCCTATCTAAAACATGGAGTCCATGCCTCAGTACTGTACTCACAAAGAAGTCTTTTCAGCGAAGAGTTACCTAAAGACACATCTGTGTGGCTTTTTGTAGTTGGATGTGAGATCACTAAGCCATTACTATAGGCAAGCAAGACAAAATGTAAAGATTTTAGCGGTGCATCAATGTATTATTAGCTCAGATTCAGAGCTTAACAACTCTGCTATAATATTCTGTAACATGGATTCAGAATTGATTCAGCATGCTTAAAAAGAGGATAGTTCTTTTGATACTCACTGTGGAAGGCTGAGGTATGAAGGCGACGTTCGTCACCCTCTGAGGGTGAGTGCTTTAATCAGACCTGCAGCAAGGTTTCTCCTAACGTTTTGGATTCGTAATCAGGTGGATATCAGTACTCATCCTCAATGTCAGTATTTTCCTCCACCAGGAGGAGAAGTGATGTTTACAAAACAGATGAAAATATTGGAGCCTTCCAACTCCTAACTTCTTGTATCTGTGTCTAGAATCCCAACCAAAACCAGCATTTTAAGTACTGGAAGGGACCTCTGGAGATCATCTGAGTCCAACTCCCTGCTAAAGCGTATTCCATACAGTCGGTTCCATAGGAAAGCATCCAGGCAGGTTTTGAATATCTCCAGAGAAGGAGACTCCAAAACCTCTCTGGGCAGCTTATTCCAGTACCTATAACTGAAAAGAAATTCTTTGTCATGCTCATATGTTCCAGTTTGTGCCCATTGCCCCTTGTTCTGTCACTGGCACTGCTGAAAATATCCTGCCACATTCACTTGATATTTATTGGCACTGATTTCCCCTTGGTCAGTCCATGCTGACTGCTTCTAATAAACTTCTTCTATTTGCTTAGAGATCCAGAATAAACTGCTCCATTACTTTCTGGGGGATGCAGGTGAGGATGACTGGCCCGTAGTGTCCTGAGTTCATCTTCTCATCCTTTTTGGAGACTGGAGTTATATTGACTTTCCACCATTTTTCAGGCACCTCTCTTCCATGATCTTTCATGATAGAAATAGGTTTTGCAATCAAATGCTGTCAGCTCTGTCAGCTCCCTCAGCACTTGATGATGCATCCCATAAGGGCCCATGGATCTGTGTGTGTCATTTGCCTAAAAGATCCCTGATCAGATCCTCCTCAACCAAAAGGAAGTATTCCTCTCCCCAGACTATCTTCAGAACCTGGAATTCCTCAGAGGAATTCTTAACAGTAAAGACTGAAGCAAAAAAGATGTTCAATAACTCCACCTACTTAGTGTCCTTTGTTTTCAAAGCACCCACCTCATTCAGCAGAAGGCCTACATTTTCACTAGCCTCCCTTTTTGCATCTGCCATTCTTAAAGAAATCTTTTTTGTTGCCATTGACCTCCCTCACCAGATTTAATTCCAAGTAGGACTTAGTCTTCCTTGTGTCATTCTTGCATGCCTGAAAATGTTCCTATATTCTTTTTTCCATAAGCTCTTAGACAATCCATGTCTCCTGCCATCTTTGCCTGATTTCTTGCTCTTAAGGATGGATTGATTTGAGCTATGGGAGACAGAGGTTAGCTCTGTCCAAGTCTGAATGCTTTCAAACTCACACATGCTATCTTTCAAGACAGCTCCTAAATCATTAAGCTTTTTAGATTTTCCTTCTTTCCCCTGCTTGTACTTTAATCTTCCTCTTTTGTTAAAGCACTTTTTTTCCCTGCCTGGAGTATAGATTGTCAAGCAGCAAATGGAAGTGGGGGTATTTCCAGCTTAATCCAATGATGAGTCACAGAGAGATAAGAATTTTGCTGTTCAGAAAGCTATTTCTGTACTTTATCCAGTAACTTTCACTCAAGGTAACGAAATGCTCTCTTGGACCAGTCAACATTGCATAATCCCTCTCCATAGCTCTCTAATTGAAAGAGTGAGATCAACATTTGTAAATTGAACATTTGGAACTGAGTGGAGCAAACCAATCCAGAATATTTCCAGCTTGAAAGTATATTGCATTATGATACTAAGATGATTAAAGAGTTATATTTCAGTTAGAAGATCCAAACATGGACAGGAGTTTGAAAGTCCTTAAGTCCCATACCTACTATTGTGCTACTCTTGTATTTTTAGTTTGAAAATCAATGGAGCTTCCATGTAAGCATCATCCTCTCGGAAGACAGAAAGTACAACTGTTTCCATTATATTTACAGCGAGTAATAACACTGAATAAAGGATATAATCTGGAATCTTTTCTGTAGAATTATACTTATGCAAAATTGTATCATTTTGGTGCTTTGAGGTAAGACTTTTTAGCTCTGTATCTTTTTTTTTCTTCTTCTTCTTTTTTTTTTTTCTCATGACAATATCTGTTTAGTTCTTTCAGTCTTGGTTGGCATGTATTTTCAGGGTCAAAGTAACCTATATTTTAATATCTTAATAAAATGGAATCCCTAATGTAACTCTTTTTCAGAAAAAGACAATTTCATTTGAGGGATGGAATCTTTCAGACTAACCCTCAGACTGCTTTCCAAACTCCTCTGCTTTCGATCTCTGTTATGTGTGACAGCAGTAGTAAATCTACAGTGATACTGAGAACCCAGGAGTCGTGGTTATCTTTTATGTGGGGCTAGAATAGTTTAAGGACACTGATGCCATAATTGTGGTTCTGTGTCCTTTAACGCAAGTGCAAATGAACAATAACTTCAACCAAATCTGCTCACCAAGACTCAGAGACGAGAAGAAGTTAAGTGCTCAATATTTTAGAAGTAGTAAAACTATACTGAAAATAGATTTTCCTTGCAGAAAAATATTGGCTTTAATGTGACTTAAATAGTACAAAATAAATTGCATTTGAAAGTGTATTCTTACTGAACCACTTTTTAATTCCACACTTTTTGTTTTACTTGGAAATTGTAGCTTTTCCACACATGTTGATCAGAATTAAATATTCAGGTAAGAAGGAAAGACCATTTGATGTGAGCTCTAATGGAAAAAAAAAAAAAGGCTATCTTGAGGTGTTGAGTATCACTCATTCTGACAAGACTATGGAACTTTATGGGAAACTGAGATAAAAAAAGAAAATTCTCTTGATGTATGTAATCATCTAGAAATATGCAGTAATACACCGATTACTTTACCTTTGCATACTCTGTGTATCTTTGTATGCTTCTCTAATTAACCTATCCCTAGACCACCTTGTAAGTGGAGGCACTTGCTTCTATCTCACCATGCCCATCTTCAAGCTTTGCTTCAAGTGACCAAGGAAGTCCTCCCATGAGGTCCTCTGCCTTTTCAGTGACTTTAACCAAGATCACTGATGGTGGTGGAAGAAGGAGTGATCAACACATGTTGCACATGGGCATGTGGTCTCCTCTGGGCTTCTTAAGATGCTGGCAGACGGTACCATTTCAGTAGAACTGTTTTATTCCTCAAAGGATGTCAAAATTCTTGGAAGAGTGCACAAGAGTGCATTCTTTTAAAGCCTGTATCTCTACTCCTTCATACTAAGCTGACAATTGGCAAAGAAGACTTTTAATGTTAAAATTTAGCCATTTAAATTAATCTAAGTAAAATAAATATTAGCTCTATATCTCCTTATATGGATAGCATTGAGTTCATACATGGTGGAGAAATTCACAGTGGGAAAAGATGAAAAATGGGCAGGTTATCTGTGGTGATCAGTCATGGCTTCCACCCAGGATCTGCACAAGAGAGTAACACACTATTTCTTGAGTAGGAAAAACCAAGTTTTTATAAGAAGTAGCTGTCTGTTCCTATAGGAAGGGATAACACACTGTGCTTCTTTCCTCACATAGAACTGTAGCCTCCAGCCTAAAACCTCTAATGCTATACTCCTAGAAGTCCTAAAAAGTGCTGAAAACAAAATTCTAGGAGTGGGATGTGCTGTGTAGAAATCAAACTCTATAACCACAGAGTAGTCAAAATGCAGGTATGTCTAATCAGCACTGTGCACATGCCAGATGCAAAGGGGGTATTCCCACCTAGCTTGCATACTGGAGGGCAAGAAAAATACATCCTTTAAAAAACAAGCTGCTTACGTATGCATTAGATGTTCAAGAAAATTATCACCCCCAAAAAATTACTCATTATTACAATGAGTACCCAGAATGATTGACATCCCCCCCTACCCCAAGTCTCAGTTCTTTTACACATGCTATCTCTCGGTTGTTGTTTGATGGTCTTTTTGATGAAGGCCTGGGTCAGGTTGGAGGACACTTGGCTGGCTCTGGTTTGTCGTCTCATCAGCTACAACTCTGTTTACCAATCCACTGCTTCTTTGTTAATCTGTGGTTTACCATCCTACTCTGCTGTCTCGCACTCCAGAGATAGGAAAGCTAGCAATGTTATTTAGAAAAACAGGCGCTAATTGTCTAGGTCTGTAGAAAAACATCTGTTACTGGCAGTGAGAAACCAGCTTAGCAAGCTCAAATCTGTATCTGTCGATTCAGCACCTCAAGAAGGTGAACTTTTAACATAACTTACTTTCCTTAATTCAGATGTCCTACCAAAGCAGACTTAATGTGTGGCATTATGTGTGGCATAATTATGACATAATGTGTGGTTCCTTTCAGGGCCTGCCCCAAACATGATTCTAGGTGGCTCTAAAGTGTTCACTAGCTGGGAAAGGACATGCTACCACCTAGAGAGTTATGCCACTCTTTATTGGATCTTCCATGGCTGCAAAGCTGCACTGCAAGCTTTTGTCTGTACTGATTTAATGGGTAGCTCACGACTCCAGTCTGGCTAAATTGAGAAATCTCAATCTGTATGCAAGAACATTCTGCTTTGTGTTGTACAAGCATGTAGAGATGGGAATCTATCTGACACAAGAATGTAGAGACAGTCATAAGAGTCCGCTGCTTCTCTCTCCTAGTATTTATGACCAGTGCCTTCAACATGCATCTCAGGCCCTCAAGATTCAATCTACAGTGCAA